TTTATAATAATCAGCACATTTATTTTGAGTGGATCACGAATGCGTTTAGACCATATTGAAGATCTCTTTGAAATTGCCTAAAAAATCATATCAGGATTTATCTATGATAATCCATGCTAAGGACATTTTTGGATTTGCCTTTATAGTCCTGTACGCATCGAAAATTTGTTACATGCTGCATCTTAACATCTTGCGAAAAATTCTCACAGTATACATATATTTCGTGGGTTTACAAGCGGATATGTTGTACATAAATTGTGTTTGTATATTAAAAGCTTGTTTTAAACAAGTCAATGCCAGTCTAGTGAATCTGGGGCAACTCAATGCAAATAGTATACCATACCTAACAGAAACCAATCACGAGCAGAGAAATCCATTTCCACTAATGCAACTCCAGAGTCTAAAAAAGCAACATATGGCAATCAGCAACACAGTGCAGACATTAAACGCAACCTTTTGTTTGCCACTTCTTACTACGATAATTAAAACCTTCACTCAAATCACTTTAACCTTATATTATTACGCAACGCAAGTACAAAAGCAAGATGTATCTAAAGGCAATCTAGAAAAACAGAATTATCAAGAACACCTTATTATCTTATCTGTAACATATTATTTTATGAAGATAGCATTGATAGTATGGGCTTGCGAAACTGGCAAGAATCAAGCCATGGATATTCGTACCACCATTCATGACGTGTTTAACAGCATCAATAATAAGGAAATAAAATGCGAGGTAGATTAAAAAAATTATAATTTAATTCACATTATATTTTATGTATTTTTCTAATTCATGTATAATAATACAAGTAATACAATTTTCAATCTGTTATTTTATCAGATTTATAATATCGTTAAATTTCATATTTAACAATTTTCTACCTGCAGTTACAGTTGTTTTCTTTGCAAGTAATGCATCGCAAGAATATATTCTCTGCAAAAGGAATTATTATTGACGCCACGCTTCTTACTCAGGTGAATGATCAGTCGTTTTCTTTCATTAAATCAATGTAGATACATTTAATTTTATTTTTTGGTTTTGCCTTTTAGCTGATGGGTGGCATTATGATGTACATAATCATTTTGATACAATTTTTGTTAATGTGGAATTCTTGTGGCGGACAATCTTAAAATATCTATAAATAAAATAATTTAGATAAATAAAATCAATTACCGAAAATTTAATCTCCTATCTAATATAAAAAGTCTATCATACGATAAAGAATCTATCTAATATAAAAAATATTTTAATATTAAATATACTTATTATTATTTTAAGTAGAATGTCTTATGAGAATTTGTCGAGATGTTTTATATTTAATAAAAAACGTCACAAAATTGATATACTTAATTATATTAGCGTTAAAATTAATATTGATTACTAAATTCAAATATTAAGGAGGTTGGAGAGATTCCGAGAGGAAGGTTTGTGGGAGGAGAGCGAATGTGAACGATAGAGTAAGGGAGAGAAGAAAGTGAGGAAAAAGAAAGGAAGGTGGAAAGGAGAGATAGAGTATTGGAGTATTCTGCTTATGAAATAAATAAGTTCATTGAGTAATGATTATGATAGAGCTTGCGACGAAAGCGGAGAAACTTGTATATGTGTGTGTGTGTGTGTGTGTGTGTGGTAAGCACACTTTGTTAGTAACAAAGGCTCTTAGTATAATAAGCGAGGTCTGATTGCGATGATTATGTATTGATTACGTTTGTTTTCTGAAGATGATTGTATTGTACTCCCCAGAGGAATCACTACACTGATACTACTATACTACTATTACTACTACTACTACTACTACTACTACTACTACTACTACTATTACTAAATTCAAATATTAAATAAATTTAATGTTAAATTTCTTTCTAAGACGTGAGAGGATACTAATATTTTTAATTATGTTCATAAATGAATGTCTCTGTACTGTGATTAAGTAGCGCTCACTAAGTATATAGCGCTGTTGCTGATCAAGAATTGAGTCGAAAAGTCTTTAGTTATTTTTTTCTAGGATGTTCAATGAAACAGCTACAGCTATATACAATATATATGTGTCTGTGTAAAAATTAATAGATAAAGTTAATATTTCCTACGAACTATTGTACTGAAGATGTCTGATTTAACTTAGATGGGCCAGTGTATTACAACTGCGCGACAATGATAGGAGTATATAAATATGCGTAGACTTTTTTTATTCAGCAGTGAGAGATAAAATAGTAAGAAATAAAAAATATAAAAAAATTTATCTTAATTAGAGCAATATATGTATATTCACAAAATGCTACGAAGAAAGTAGAAAGTATCCACACACAAGTGCACACATTTGATAATAATCACTACCAAATTGAAAAAAAGCTCTTACAAAAGTGTCCGACAGTAATATTAAATATACAAAATGCAAAATATAATATTTTTTAAAAATATATTATATAAAACATATGTTTTATTTATTTCATATAAAATAAAAGTTTGCCTTTCTTTTTTTTTATTACGATATATATTTACTTATACTTATTTACTATAACCTATACTTTGTCTTTATTATAAATAAATTTAATAGAAGACTAAAAAAATATCTTGATAACGATCGTTTTGTAATCTAGATGCACAACATTGTGAATTACATGTCACAGTAAATAATACATCATTACTTTATGCGTGTTCTGGAGATAATAAGCGTAAAGCCATGGTTACTTCATCACTAACAAATTCCTGAGCCTTCTTTGCTATACAATGCAATAATTTTTAGTAGTTTTGAAATTAAACTTGACAAGTGTACACTGTAAGAAGTTTACGTGAGTTTACGCATTTGTCGTATAAAGACAACAAAACTTTGAAGAGAAGTTCTCGTAAACACATTAATTAATTTGGTGTTAAAAAACATTAATTATAACGTAATTAATACCTTTTTATTTATAGTCAATGATTTAGATTACTGTTGTCTTATAATATTTCACCATGGTCAATTCAGCATTGAAAATCAATAACTTCAACGATTTCAAAAGAAAAGGAAATATACGGCAGCTATTTAACGCCATGGATTTTGAATCATTAATGTTTCCTTGCATCACTTTTTGCCGCATTTTGGGAACATTTCCATATAAAATCAACGCTTACACTATTAAAACTAATAAGTTCTGTTACTTCTTATCGATCATTGTTATTTGCATTTTATCCATTTCTGATTTATATACTCTCTATAAGCTTGATTATAAAGTCGTCTACAACCATATCAACAATATAACGTCGGTACCTGATAGTAATGATCTTAAAACTCCCGAGCTACTTGAACGTAACTGCTTTTACATTTTCGGTGGTTTTACATCAGTCATCACATTCTTTTTGAGTGGATCGAGAATGCGTGTACTTCAGGATATACTAGAGATATCTTCAAAATTGTCTCAGAAATCATATCAAAATCTATCTGAACTGATTCATGCCAAGGACATTTTTGGATTTTTTTTAATAATCATACAAATATTGATGTACTATCAGGGACATTATGGAAAACGTTATGATTATTTAGCCAAGCCTTTGATACTATATCTCCATTTGCTGGAATTCCAAATGAACATGCTGTATATGAATTGTGTTTGCGTATTGAAAGTTTGTTTTAAACAAATCAACGATGGTTTAAGGTTTTTTCAAAAATTTATGCCAAATGATGAACCGAGTCTTTTAGAAGTAACTTATCAAAAGCAGAAGAATCCATTCCATCTGTTGCAACTCAAGGGTCTGATAAAACAGCATCAGACAATTAGCAACACACTAGAAAAGTTACAAGCGACATTCAAATGGCAACTTCTTTCTACGTCTGTCATGACCTTTATTGAAATCACTTTCAATATATACTTTCTTTTCGAACGAATGCAAGGAAAAAAAGAGCTGTCTCTAACAAACCTGAAGGAAAATTATGATCTCATTGTATTTTCAATAAATTATTGTATAAAAATATTATTGATAGTATGGGCTTGTGAAACTGGCAAGAATGAAGCCACAGAGATCAAAACCAGCATTCACGAAGTGATTAACAATACTAGCGATGAAGAAATACAATCCGAGGTAGATTTCAAAATAAATTAATTCGCATTTTATATATATTTCTAAGTATACATCCATGTATAATAATGCAAATTTTAATATATTCATTTAATGTATGGATTTATGAGATTTATAATTACGTCTTTCAATCCTGCATTTTATCATTTTTATTTGCAGTTAAAAATATTTTCTTTGCAATTAATGCAACGTGATACTGTATTCTGTGCAAAGGGAATTATTGTGAACGCTATGCTTCTTACAAACGTAAGTGATTAATTATTTATATTTTTAATAAATAAATAGGTAGATATATTTAATTCAAACAAGCAAAATGAGATTTAAATAGATTTATATTTATATTCATTTTGTGATTTTTTGTATTTTCTTAGATGGCGGATCTCGTTACCACATATATATTAATTCTGATACAATTCATGGCAATAAAGTATACTTGCCAAGCAAATTCTTAAAGATTTTACACGTTACATATATTATTCAGTTAACTAAAAAATATTTAGATCGAACATAAAAGGTATTTTAAATATGTACTCATCTATTGCGTGTGAATAGAATATCACTGTGAGTAGAAGATTTATGCTTATAAAGCTATTTATTTATATAGTGTACGTATATACATAAATATTTAAAAGTCTTATATCATGCACTATTTATGAGACTGGATAATAAAATTTGATCTTTAATTTTTTTAATTGTCACATTTATAGCAACATTTGAACGAAATGGTAAATAATTTTGCGACTCTAAAATTATATTTTAATGTTCTGCATTTCAAATTCGAAGACGTATATTTTTAGATGTATTTTTGATTACACAATGTATTTTTATTGTAAAATGCTTCTTTCTTATGTTTAACAAATATCTTGCACAATTGTATCCTTTTTTTATTAGCCTTTCAAAAAAATCCTTTTATTATTAAAATTATCAAAAGTAGAGTAATAGAAGAAAGAGAGGTTGTTAATTGTTAAATTTTATATTTTTGAAACTTCTGTAATGTAGATGTATTTTGCATAAAATAATGACGACTCATTTTGAGACACTTTACTTAATTTTTATTTATAAATATGTAAAAAGGAACAGATATATCTCCTATAAATATAAAATATTATATTAAAGATGTCTTTAAGCAGACAATTATAGAAGTTTATATGAGTTCACAAATGCATATATAGGAAAGAATTTATAATTTATAGGTCTGTATTACATCTAATTATATCTACGCAACTATTTTAGTTGCGTTTGCATTGGATTCACTTAATAATTAGAAATAAAGATTAAAAAATATGAAAAATTTTCAATTTAATTAGAACAATATACAATATAATGCATACATACAAAATGGCGCAAAGCAACAGAAAGTAGATCTATTGTAATCATAGTAAATCGAAAAAACAACCTTCATGAGCTCAACAGTAATATTGAATACATAAAATATAATTTCTTAATTGCCTTATCAAATTTTATTTTTTATATCAGTCATATCATAAAAAATTCTTTAAATATAATACATTGATTAAACTGTTTATGCCATTTAAAATAAAAATTTGTCTTTCTTTTGACTTTAAAATAGCACAACATATACTATTTATGATAACTTTTTGCGTTTACCTATATATGAATCTAATAGAAGACTATGAAATGTCTTGATAACGTCTATTTGTTTTGCACATGACCTAGATGCGCAAGATCGTAGTTTACATGACACAGATAAATATATGTTATTGTTTATGCGTGTTTTGAAAATAATAAGAGAATGGTTTTACTTGAAGGCTAACACGTTTCTACTCCTGTTTCATTATATCATGCAATTATTAATAGTTTTAAAAATAAGCTCGTTGGATACATGACTAAAAAAAGTTTATGTCAGTTTATGGACATAAAGACATCAGAAAATTACATTTGAAAAAGAAATTGTAATCAAATTGTTACTAAAGAATATTTATAACATATGTATTATAATTAAGATCTGTTTGATTATAGTTCACGATTTAGATTAATAATCATTTATCCAATGATATTTATGTCGTACTTCATAATACATGTATTACTATTTAATATATTATTAATAAATTTAATGTATTGAGAGATATTCTTTTTTTCTCTTTCAATTTAAGTTAAAGACCTTGTTTTCTCCTCTGCCCCAGAAATCCCGTAATTTAGTCTGAGGGTTAAAGGGATTAAGTTATTTGACTCAAAATGAACAACGATCACACTGCTCATAAATATTATAGTATCTTTTTCAGAATGTTAACTCTTATTATAAAGTCAAAAATGCGTTTAATTTGTTACACGTATTTTCCGAGCGTGTATCTGCGAGAGTGTCTAAACGTGTTTTACTTCACCAACTTCTTACCCTTTCGAATAAATGAATGATATTTAGTCGAGATTTGAACAAACAGCACATTGGAAAGTTTTTACAATGAGCCTATAATAGTAAAATTGAATATGTAAAATGTCAAATATTTTTTAAAATATATACAAATAAATGGTTTATTCCATTTATAATAAAAGTTTGTCTTCCTATTCTAATTTTATATCGGCACGATACATATTTACTGTAACTTTGTGTGTTTCCCTGTACATAAATTTAATGGAAGACTAAAAAATATCTTGATAGTATCTATTCCTTTTGTACATAATCTAGATGTGCAAGATTATGGACTACATGACACAATAAATAATACATCATTTTGTGTTCCGGAGGTAAGATAAGTAAAAAACCATGGTTACTGTATGACTAACAAATACCTGAGACATCTTTCGATATACGACGCAATCATTTTTAGTAGTTCAGAAATTAAACTTGACAAATGTAGGTACACTGTGAGAAAATATCACTTTATTCATTTGCCATAGAGACCAATAAATTATACTTGAAAGAAAAGTTTTTGCAAATAAATTGTTGCTAAAGAGTATGGATAACATCCTTAATATATCCACAATTATAGTGTACGATTCAAATGATCTCAAGTAACATTTTAATAAGCATGTTCAACTCATTATCGAAATTCTATAAATTCAATAGTAAAAGAAAAAGAAATAAATGGCAATTATTTCGCGCAGCTGATTTTGAATCGTTGATGTATCTTTGCTTTATTTTTTGCCGCATTCTGGAAGTAGT